AGAAACGAGGATATCCGCAGTAAGACCAGAGTAACCGACATAGCCCAACGGATTATTAAGCTGAAGTGGCAATGGGCCGACTATATAGCTCGAAGAACCAATAACCGATGGGGAAGAAAGGTTCTCGAGTGGCAGCCTCGTACCGGTAGGCGTAGTGTAGGGCGACCCCCCACCAGATGGAGTGACGACCTGGTAAGACATGCAGGAAGTCGATGGATGCAGGTGGCTCAGGACCGTGCTTTGTGGCATTACTTGGGGGAGGCCTATGTTCAGCAGTGGACTTGTGAAGGGCTGTAATGATGATGATGATGATGAATTAATTGTTTCCGATAAAACAATAGTAATTATTACCTATTGTACGATACAAAAATAAAATAGAAATAAATTTAAGAATAACATATTTTACTGAACGTTTCTATCTGAATATATTCATACATATCTACGTATCTGAGTCCATCTCTCAAGTCGCGCTTTAAAAAACTTTTCTTCAAAATAAAAATAAAACAAATTATATCACACGAAAGGTATTATTGAGTAATTTCCTTTTCTCTACTTTTTTTTATAAATAACGTAATAAATTGTATTCAGTTGCAAATAAAGCATTATGATTTAATGAGCGATTTTGTTTAGTGAATCATAATTTAATAAAAATATTAAGCCATTGGTAAACATTTTATACGTGGTAGAGCCACGATGTAGCTTTATATGGTGGTTGTAGCATGAATGGGTCGGCTCGACGGGGAGGAACCACGCTCTCACGGAATACCAGCGTAAATTAGTAGCTTAATACTGCTCTGTTTCGTGTGGTGGGTGTAGAGATCCGTTTACCCTTTTTTTACTGGAAAGACACTTTTTTACTGGAAACTAGGCATTCCATCTTAGTCTTCGGGGGTGAAAACGCATCAGTGTATTGCTTCTTAACTGAGGATAAGTGTAGATGTCTATGGGTCATAGCATTCACTTACCATCAGGTGGACTGTGTGCTCGTTTGTCACCCTTATTCTATAAAAAATGATTTTATTTGTATCAAATCTACACGGTAGCGCAGTTGTTAGTTGTTTTACCATGGCTGTGCATGCTGCGGGTTCTTATCCCCCAAGGCTGGATAAATATCCAGCGCCGTTCATATGTAATAAAAATTCCTAGTGGGGCTATAAACATAAAAATAAAAGATAATAACTTATACGTGGTAGAGCCAAGCTGCAGCTATTTTATACATGTAACATGAATGGTACCCTAAAGTAGCAACTCAATGATGCTTCGTTTTATATGTTGAGTATAGACAACCATAGACTCTTTTTATTAGAAACGAAACATTCCACCTTAGTTCTCATTTGTGACAACACATCTGCATTATGATTGTTGATCGATGATAGATGTAGTTGTCTATGGAGCACAATCACCATATTCGCATGTGGTAATTGTGCTCCATAAAAAAACGCGAATACGGCATAGGTGTCGCTAATCACTCCAAACATCGGGAATATAAAATTTTAAAGATCAGTACATAAATGAAACAAAAAATAAATTGATTATATATTTAATTTATGTACGCAAAAAATAGTTTTATAAAAATAGTGATAATGCAAATTATAATATACATTTTACATTGTATAAACACTTTCACATGGTACTATATATGTCCAATGATAATAAACCGTGTATTAGTCGTAAGAGATGAGAGGAAAACTGGAGATGATCATCAGATCATCGGACTATGAGAGTGAGGGAATAGACACTTGAGTTGCGCTAACAAAGAATAGTCCCCGTTAAGACTGGCAGGTTTGGATCACATTATTACTATTACACAAAGAACGTGCAAGATTAGAGTGGCCCCCACTAGATGGAGTGATGACCTGGTAAGGGATTTAGGATTACGTTTTGAGGGATCCCTTGGGGGAGGCCTATTTTCAGCTGTAGACTTGTAATTGGTGCCCGCAGTTCCAGTTTGTCCGGGTTTCCCGCATCTGGGTATTTCACGTCAGGCGTATAGAACTGTCACTTCCTATAGTATCCTCTAACGGCATCCACTGGACGAAACAGGCTGATGGTCGAAACCCAGCGTCAGATAAATTAACCTCAAAATCAAAAAGCAAACACCAGTATTTCACTTCTGTATCATTATTTTTTTTAAATATTTAACATATGATAAAAGGCAAAGCCGACTTCAAAGAACTAAAATGTATACAATAATTTTACATGTAACAACTACAGAAGTCGGTGCTTAGACATGGTGTACATAAAAAAACATAATAAACATAAATATTCACGCCTGTCACCCAGAGGGGTAGGCAGAGATTACAGACTACCATTTGTCACAATCCTGTCTCGCCTCCTCCACATCCATATACCTACGCAAACATGCTCGTCGATTAAGAGTATTCTCAATTTGGCCCATTTTCAATATATCGCCAATTTGGTTTCATTCTTTCTACATGACCAAACCACCGAAGCATTCCTTTCTTAATCCTGGTCACAACTACATCTTGCACACCACAGAGAGTACCTTTAAAATAAATTTACATAGTGTACCTTTAAAATAAATTTATTCTTAAAGTCGGTCTTTACTTTATATTAAAAGTGTAATATTTTTAACCCTTTTGAATTGAGACTGAATGTCTTCGGCATATTAAAAACTCATCCTCTATTTTCCCGCCCTTAGGGAGAGAATTTTTCTCCATATTTATATAGGACTACCCCATAAAAATAATCTATGTAATAAAAAATATATTAATATCGATTCCGAAGATATTGCGTAACATAGGTTCATCCCAAAAAAAAAAACAGAATGTACAACCGAATTGAGAATCATCCTCTTTTTTACAGTCAGCAAAAAAATAAGATAATTTTGAATGTCTAAAGATAAACCTACGACACTATTTAAAACGGAATACAACTGTGTCTAATCTAACCCTAAGTAGCCAATAAATCACGTAGTAATAGGCTGGCAACGCATCAATTAACGGTAAACATAGCGAGGCATCCGAAACGCCGCGTCAAAGTTGAAGCCCTCGACGCCCCTACACCCCCTCTGCTGCAATTTTTTTGAGGGGGCCTCCACCCAGACTGTTTGGTGACGGTTGCACCTCTGTAGTACTGAAACCCGAGATTGGACACTCAGCTGGTAAAATTAATATATTGAAAAAGTGAAACTATATTTATGTTGTTTTATATAGGTGTACATTTGAATGATTGTTGTTTTTTGAAGTGAAACTTCTTTATCGACGTAGTGAAGAATGTCATGTTTTCTTGTAATGCTATATCGTGGTACTGCACGAGTATACTATCTACTATCATTTAACCTACTTATGTGAAAAATAAAATAAAAGAAGAATTATATGTTGTAAAGAAATTACACTTCGTACGTGTGTACACAAATACAAGCACATTTTTTTAAATTCGGAAAACGAAATAAATTTTTGGGTACTTATTTAACCTAATGATTATTTAATAAGCATTTTTATTTATAAAGTACCTATCGTAAACATGTTAAAAATAACAATTTTTCAGTTTACAATATATACAAGTATTAGAACCAGAGTGAAGTTGGTTATAAACAAAAAAGCCTCTGGTTTCTTTATTTTCGCCAGTATGTGGGTAGGATCTTTTCAGCACAACACGGTTCAAATTAAGCAACGACCAATTTTCACCGGTCGCATCACACTCGCGTCCATTTTGACGTGTTGATTTTTTTCCAGCCGCCGCATGTTTCGTTTATTTCGCTGCACACATGCGCCCGATCGGACGCGGGCTCGATCGATCTGCGTCCAGCTTCCCGTCCATCAACCCCCCTGCAACTATAATCATAATTCTCATAACCCCCGGTTAATATATTCACGTGTAGGCAGTCAAAATTCCGCAGGTGCTTGTAACCCTTTTGGAATTGGAGTTTTTTGGAAATCGAGTAAATTGCGATGTATCTTTTCTTTTGTTAGCTTATTTAAAAATATACATCTTAATTCTTCTCCTTCGTTTTTTTTTTGTAGAATCATAGTGATAAACGAGAACACAGTAAGTGGATGCTGTGGCTCATAGACATTTTTATTTTATCCTCGATTGAGAATTAAATTACAGATGGGCTGTCACACCTGAGGACTAAGAAGGAATGCCTCATTTCCAGTAGAAATAATTCCGGTTCTCTATCCTACGTACGAAACACAGCAGCATTAAGCTGCTATATTATGCTGGTATTCTGCGAGAGCGTGATCCTGCCTCGGACGAGCCGACCCGTTAGTGCTACAACTATAATATATCTGTAACATGTACCAAGAGAAAATTCTGTCAATTTCAACCCCTGTGACAACTTACTTTTTTTACTGTTTTTTTTTTTTTAATAAAAATGCAATGACAAACAAACTTACTGACAACCTTATGATAATTGACTACCACAGTCCATGGACAGCTTCAGACAACTTCAAACCAAGAAGATTACAGATGCCTTGCTCCCTCTGAGGACCAAGCTTGCTTCAGAGCTTGTCTCTCTATACCCTATAGATTGGTACATTACAACATTAATAATTATAAGCAACACATAAGCAAGTACTCGACTGACTCGTTGGTGTAGTGGTCGTAAACTGGACTCTTAACCATGAGGTCTGGGGTTCGAATCCCGGATCGAGCCAAAAATCAGTTTTTGCGTTTTTCTGCCAGAAAATTTTCAGTAGTAGCTCGGAGTTAGGAAGTTGGCGGTGTTTCAACCGCGTGCCTTCAAAAGCATTTCCATTGGTCCAGCAATCAATCAACCAATTCACAGCAATCTGTCATTAATAATTTGTTGGCAACGTTTTAAAATGCTTTGGCGGAAGTCTCTACTCTGTGTGACTCTGTTTGACCACAGATTATTAAGTGTTTGATATTGGCCTTACAGTAGAAACACACTTAGATACCTATACATACCCGGAGACATTGGCAGTAAAGTAAAAAGTAAAAGTAAAGTTACAGCCTATATACGTCCCACTGCTGAGCACGGACCTCCCCTCACTTCTGAGTGAGGTGGCAGTATGAATGTACTAATTTTAGCTTTCTGCACCCCTTCTCCATATAAAATGCTGTGCTGTGGAGGGGACGGTGGCACCACGGCGGCGGCCGCGCCTTCTGTGGCAGCCGCCGGCGCTCACGCGCCCACTTCTCGTGTTCTACGGCTTATCGGAGACATGCTCGCAGATGATAACGAGACTGATTTATTTGCTGATAGCTTAGGGCTACTGTGTAGTAAAGCCCTTCTATTTTTGACATCCAATTTTGACATATTGTAATATATTCTTTTAATCTCATGTAATCAATCAGACAATGACGTTTTGCTTAATTTATTTGACATGTAATCTATTTGACTTTTAATCTATTTGGCATGTATGTTTTTGGTATTTATTTGATCTATTCGACATGTATTCTTTAATTTGTTTGACCTTTTGACATGTATCTTATATTACTACTATTATTTAAAACTGTAATTTGTAAATTAGCATTCTGACGTTTTGAGCATACTGTAAGCCAGCATGTACACTGTTTTTAAAATATAAATAAAATGATCTCACACTCCTCTGTGTACGCAATATGCTTAAAAAAAGATAAAAAGTGTAAAGTATAAATCTAAGAATCTTTATGTATATATTTTACATTGACCCGATTTTTAGTATCATAGATTAACTATACGAAGCTATATTATACCTATATTTTTGGTCCGGGTGTGCACGTTCGTCCGCACTTTCGCTTTTAACTGGCCACCGCTGCATAACTAATTACACGCTTAGGAGTCTGCAGAGCGTCGGACTAAAGATTATCCTCGGTAACTAGAAAGTTATTTTAATGTGCGACTTCCCTATAATTTTCAACAACTCTATGATTTGAATTACTCAAGTAGATTAATGCTGTAATTAAGGTAACATTATTTTGTGAATTCGTCTTCATATCAGATCATAATGGTATTACTAGCCGTGAGCCTCTCTCACTGTAAAATTCTGCCTTAATCTCTGAATTTGGTAGGCTTATTGGCCGTAGGCGTATATATATATATAATAAAAAAAAAAAAATATTATATATGACACTAACTATATAAATGACACTAACGTATTAACGGTTAAAACGTTTATGCACAAAAATTTTGGTCTTCTCTCCCAGGCAGCTTATACGTGGTAGAGCCACGCTGCAGCTATATTAGTTGTAGCACGAATGGGTCTGCCCGAACGGGGAAGGACCACGCTCTCACAGAATACCATCGTAAAATAGCAGCTTAAGGCTGTTTTATTTCGTATGGTGAGTGTAGAAATACGGAGATCCTTTTTACTGGAAACAAGGTGTTCTATCTTAATCCTCAGTGGTTAGAGCGCAACGTTTTGTACGTGGTAGAGCCATGATGCAGATATGTTAGTAGTATAGTTGTAGCACGATTGGGTCGGCTCAACCGGGTAAGGACCACGTTCTCACAGAATACCAGCGTAAAATAGTAGCTTAATACTACTGTGTTTCGTATGGTGAGTGTAAAGAACCGGAGACCCTTTTTACTGGAGACGAGGAATTCCATCTTAGGCCTCACGGGTGACAATGCATTTGCATTTTGATTCATAATCGATACATGTCTATGGGCCACAGCAATCACTTACTACCAGGTGACTGTAATCTCGCTTGATCCCTTATGCCATTAAAAATTAAAAGTCAACGATTAGGCTAAGAAGATAAACATATCAGAAGTAGTGCAGCTAAACATGAACTAAAAAAATTATAAACTAAAAATGAAGAAAAAGTTAAAGAAGCATGCATAAACCATAATAGATAACTTACGTATTTGTGTAATTTTCGATAAAAATCGTCATATTAACAGCACGTATGGCAGACGTAAATGGAAAGTCATTCAATAGCAATACGAATCCGATACGATAGAGAAACTATGGTCAGAGGATTGTCTCGCACTTTAGACACTGCACTCCATTGCCAGAGCTGGTATTTTACTTAGCATATTGTACGAGGTACATCTCTTTCTATTGGCAATCATGATATCGGCCTGGCCTCTCCGCATAGTCGTTCTCCTCGAGCGACTCCCCAGAGTGAAATTTCAAACTGCTGAACAAAGGCCTCCCAATAGATTAAAAGTACCATAACCCACCCATAAGTGTGATATTTGCCATAGTTATACGTGGTAGAGCCACGCTGTAGATATTATGGTTGTAGCATGAATGGGTCGGATCGACCGGGGAAGGACCACGTTCTCACAGGATACCAGCGTAAAATAGCAGCTTAATGCTGCTGTGTTTCGTATGGTGAGTTTAGAGAACCGGAGACCCGTTTTATTGGAACGGAGGCATTCAGTCTTAGTCCTCAAAGATGACAATGCATCTGCATATTGATTCTTAATCGAGGTTAAATGTAGATGGCTATGGTCCACAGCATCCAATTACCATCAGGTGGACTGTGTGCCTATTTGTCACCCTTATCCTATAAAAACAATTTTGCCACAATTAGCAGGTGGGTTCGTAATAGCATTTTTTTTAAATTATTGTGATGCTGTTACCTATCTCTTGTTTCATTTCCTTCGACAGAATATAACAGTCTATTACACTATTAGGGAATAGTGAATATTCTTATAACGGGACTTTACGGTACGGTGATGGATTCCTTCATGGATTGTTTTATGCCACCATCATACAAAAATTAATATAGATGTGTATAATAATGCAAATTTATCTCAAAGCATTACAAAAGCATTATTCGTTGCGATCACGATTGTCACAACACACACACATCTGGGCCACGATCTGTAAATTAGCAATTAATGAATGCGCCAGGGCCACAAGGACTCAATGCCCCCCCGGACGGGGCGCTGGCATTTTTTATTGCTATATAGGTAACCTGTGCAGGACTAGCACGCTACACACGATACACGACTGCACGATCAGTCTTAAGATTTGGAACGTGAATATTTTTGAATGTCGTATTTCAGTGATTTTTTTCAATTTCTTTTTTATAGGCATATCGATAGGTACTTACTTACTTAATTCTGCCACAGAATTACTGTGCTTACACTACTGTGTTGTGTGTGTTGTGGTTGTGTTTCATAATGTATATACACACATTTATACATAAATATATTATTACTGCAAATAATGCTGATAAAAATAAATTAACAATCAAGTACTAATAATAATAAATTGGTTAGATTTTTAACGTACGTTTTTATCTCTCTATATTTGATTAAAATGCTAATGGTAATGATATTTTCTAAGATTTTATCAACAGCGCAAACGTTATTATTAGTATGGCTAGTATTCGCGCGAGAAGCACTTACTCTACATCACCTACCAATGCCTAATGTAATGTTTGTGCGTAAAGATCGCAAGTTTAAGATATGAGTATATAGATAGTATAAATGAAAAGTCAGAACAGTTTATTCATGAGGTTTTTTATAGGAGAGGGGCTAACGAACATGCGGTTCACCTTATGTGAGTGACTACCGCCGCACATGAACAACAACAACTCCAGTAGAATTCCATGTGCGTATCCGAACTTTTAAAAAGGAGCAGGCTCTTGTTTTGAACATCCACAAGTAGATTAGAAATCGCTGGTTTTTAAAAGTTAACAAACTCTACCCCACTCGTAAGTAGACGTGCAAATTTTCTTAAGATGTTTTCATTCAGTCGAGCATGTGGTAAATCAGCACTTGTAATTGCAATGATGAATAAAAAATATCGGTATACAGATGTTCCTTATCTGTTCATACGTACACATGTACTCAGTTGCTCTAGAGATATGGAGTTTTTGACACAACAGTGTAAGTAATTCCAACATCACAAGATTTTAGCAGTAGGTAGTAATCCTTAATAAGAAACTCCGTGTATCTCCGTCACTTTAAGCTTTTTTCGCAGTGAGCCCGCAGCACTCGTTTTTCTCGTGCCCCCACCCCTATTCCCCACTCCAAGCCATTCCCGAACCTCCCTCGATAGCACCGTGCGCGGAATTTGATTAATGCAATGTTCGGGATAATTATTCCTGTTACTATTTTTGACAGGATAAAGTTTTTACGTCGGACGTTGATTTTAGCGTATGTTTTTTGCGCGGCCATCGGTCGCGTTTTGAAAGTTTCGTGCGTTACTGTAATAACCGTTGCACTTGCTACGAATTTTGAGTTTTTTACGATGCAAAAGCTTTATTGTGCTTTTAATAGGGTCGTATTATTGTTTTTATGCATTTTTATAAAGTACATCAGCTTCTACAGCGCATTGAGCAGTTTTGTTTTTAAAAGTCAGTTCATTCAAAATATAGTAATATTACATTCTATATACACATGTACATGTATTACTACAAATGCACGTAGTAGAGCCATGCTGTAGCTGCATTATAGTTGTAGCACAAATGAGTTGGCTCGACCGGGGGTCGACCCAGAATACTACCGTAAAATAGCAGCCTAATGCTGCTTTAGTAGGCATTTTATCTTAATTCTCAGGTGGCCACGCATCTGCCCTTTGATTCTTAATTAAGGATAGATGTAGGTGTCTAAGAGCCACAGCATCCATTTACCATCAGCTGGACTGTGTGCTCGTTTGTCACCAATATTTTATAAAAAAAATCGTGATAATACAACGTGGCCGCGGCTTACTGCAGATAAGGCGAAACGCAGCTAGTGTTCTTGGCACTATAGTGCATGGTGTAGGACTATACCCACAATGCTATTAGAAATATTAGGCTTCTACCCAGCAGTGGAGTAGTACAGCCATAGTGAAAAATTACTCAACAGTATACCAACCATGTTGTTAATTACTCGTGATAAGGCATTCTATTTAGTCCTCTAGGAGTAAATGGCCTACAACAAAATCTTTTAGCACGCAAATGCTTTTTGAGCGAACGAGCTGCCTTAGGACGGAAATAGATAAGTAAGAGTGACAAATGACGCATTGTACTGATAAGTGCAGCCTTCCCCCCTCCCTTATCCTCTTCTGCATGCCGCAGGGAATCGATGGATGTAGGTGGATCCAGACCATGCTTTGTGGTAATATATGGAGTTGGCTTATGTTTTGCACTGGATTGCATGGATGATGACGATATGAGATTTATGAATCACGTTCAAAGTATTAAAATAAGTGCATACTTCTTTTTATATATACATTAGTATATACATACGTATTCCCTTCTTCATTAGCCTGTAAAACTTTTCTTATGTCCACTGTAGAAAGGATTTGCTATAATTTTTTTACGTCTGTCTAATTGCTTACTAATTGTTTAATTATTATTTTTTTAAATTCTATTGTCGTCTCTTACGACACCCACG